TGCTCCTTTTGTAATTGATGGCATTGCTATGTTCTGGTTTGCATGTTATGCCATGCACGTGTTCTGTTCTGGCATGTTCTGCTGTGTCACATTGTGTTATGTCGCGTTCGTCGTCGTTCTGTTATGTTGTCGTGTTATACTGTGTACTGTGATGCTGTGTCATGACAGGATATGTTATGTCAAGGTGTGTAATGTTATGCTTGGCTCCGTTCGTTTATGTTTTGTTATGCCGTCTTTGATATGCAATGTTATTATATATCATGTTATGTGATGTTATGGTATGCTCTGTTGTGTTATGAATTTGCTATGCTCGGTCCTGCCATGTTCTATAATGCTCGTGCTCTGCTCTGTCATGCTATGTTGTTTTCTTTCGTGTTCGCCGTCGCTATGCTCTGCTGTCGTGTTATGCCATGTTCGGTGATGCCGTGTCATGCTATGATATGGTATGTCAATATGTTGTGTGGTATGTTCGGTTATGTTATGTTATGTTGCGTTATGTCGTCTTCTGTTACGCCATGTTCTGCTCTGGTATGTTATGTGATGTTATGGTATGCTCTGTGGTGTCATGGCATTGCTATGCTGTGTTCTTCCATGGTTTGTCATGCTCGTGTCTGCTCTGTCAGGTTATGTTGTGTCATGTTGTTTATATTCGTGTTCATCGTCGCTATGAGCTGCTGTCGTGTTATGATATGTTATGTGATTATGCGCCATGATATGATATGTTATGTCATGGTGCGAACTGTTACGCTCGGTATTGTTATGTTATGTTGTGTTGTGTCGTTTTCTTTCATGTCATGTTCTGCTCTGGTATGTTATGTTGTGCTCTTATTTGTCACGATATTGGTGTGTTATGTCATGTCCTGTCATGTTCTGTTATGTTCTTCGAGGGCGCGAGGCGGGATACCCCGGATTCTCGGAGATCATCGGGACAACTTGGGGTCTGGCGGCTGCGGTAAGCAGGGCGGGGTTGGCCGGGCGTGAGGGGGGACACCAGGGATATTCTGGATTCTCGGGTCAATTTGGGGTCTGGCGGCCGCGGTGTGCAGGGTGGGGTTGGCCGGAGGGGCCTGTTCTTAAACCTTTAACAGCCCCAACCTGTCGGGTGGGGAACCAATGCCAGAATTTACCTAGTATTCGGCACGTCGTGCATCCCTTTGGCGGGCCACGGGGGTACGGCGGAGCCAGTGGCCTTTGGCCCATCCCGCCACCGTGCTTTGGTTGTCTGTCAGAGGCCTCTTGGCCCGTCTTTGGCCCTCTTGGGTCCGAAAGAGTCATGCTGGAAGACCCCCCCGGCCGCACAAGCAACCTGGGGAGATTTGAGAACTTGGGGTCCAGGCCCCTGAAAAGATCCTCGGCATTAAGAACAGGCTCAGGGGATCGAGTAAGGTACCTGAGGACACTCCAACTCGAGCCTCGCAGGCACGGTGGCGGGCTTTTCAGAGCGCTCTGGCACAACCTGTGCTACCTTGACCCTTGGTCTGGCCTGGCCATTGAGCTCATTGCATGTGCTGTTTTCACTCTTCGTCGTACCTTCTGCATTTGACCGAGAGCACACATTGCGGTACGTTCGATATGTGGTGATGTGCAAGTTTCGGGTCGTGATGCAGCATGTCACCTCCATGCTCCATCCCGATACCTGGTAGCGAATTTGAACAAAAGTTCAGCCAGCTCGGTAGAGCCGGCAGTGCAAGAGTTGCACATCTCCTTCCCTTCCCTCCTCCTTTTCACCTTTACCTCTCCTTCACCTCACCCTCCAATCCCTGCTCCTTCTCCCTCATCCCTCTCCCTCACTGGCCTCGCCCAATCCATCTTCTCTCTCATCCCTCATCCGCCCTTCCGTCCCCTTCTCACCTGTTTGCATGTCCCACCTCCCTTACTTTTTGATTTTGCCTCAGCGTCATCTGTTATCCCGTCTAGGTAGTGTCATGGCGCCTCCTCAGAACTCCTTGTGCCTGGCAGGCGCAACCTCAGATGGCCATATTCATTCGCAGTGTTGAGTGGGCTTCTTTACCCCATCCCCCATTCACCTTCAGTCTTCCACCTCTCCCTCTTTCCCTCTCTCAGCCTCCCTTCCTCCAGCCCTTCCTCCTCCCTTTTCTCCTTCTCCCCCTCTCCTTCTTTTTCTCCTTCTTTTTCTCCTTCTCCGCCTCCTCCTCCTCCTCCTCATCCCCCCTCTTCACCCCATCCCTCCTCTCTCCCCCCATCCCCTTCCCCGCTCCTCTTTCACCCTCTTCGTCAGCGTTGTCCTGTTCCTCAATTCGTGTTCTCCATCCTCATCCTCGTCCTCGGACACACCTGGCACCAGGTAGCTACAGTCTCTCGGCGCTGCAGTTGATGGTGACGAACGACCACGCCTCCCCAGAGAGCATGCAGCAGGCAATACCGCGTTGGCTCGACGGGTGGGGTAGGGGAGTGGAGGCGGAGCGAGTGCAGCGGGAGACATGAGAGGTGGGGGGCGGAGCTGTGGGCAGGGGTTGCACGGGGGAGCGGGGGGCGAGGTGGACGATGGGGCGGGAGAGGAGAGTCAGGCGATCGCAAACATGGATCAAGGTCAAGGGGGCGTGGATTGGCGACGGGTCCGTTTCCGTGGGACATCGCGGATTTCTGCCGCCGAACGAGGCGGCACCGGCCGCAGTTTGGGGAGGGCACCGCCCCCGATCTATGGATAGGCGACCGCGCGCCGAATCCATGGAGCGCTAATCCATGCTTGCGCGCCCCCGAGAGAGGGCGAGAGGGGAGACGAGGGAGGGCCAGCCCGTGCGCGCGGTGCGGCTACATAGGCGCCGGAAGCTCGCGCGCCTGGGCGCGCGGCGGCTGCAGGGGTCCTCGCCGCCGCGCGTGCCCCCGTCCTGCGCCCGCCTCCTGCGCCAGGAGGGCTCGATGTGCAGACCGCACCGCCTGGTCGGCCGAGGAGCCACGGGAGCTCGGCGGGGGAGTTCGGTGTGCATCTGTATCGCTGAGAAAGTCGGACCGAGGTAGAAGATCGTGGTCGGTTCGGGGAGGGTGCCCGGATGTTCTCTTCATGCTTGTTGGACGTCCTTGTGCGTTTTGGGGAGGATTCCTTTGGGATGTTTTGCTTGTTTTGGCCGATGGAGGGTCGCATGTTCTTGAGGCATGTTCTTCTGGCCTCAGTCCGACTGCAACCAGACCCCCACCATCTCAGCACCCCAGTTGGGGATCTACTCCTCGAGACCTGAAGGAAACAGCCCATGTCCCCATCCAGGGGAGGTAAGTCGGCCAGCGGCGCCCAGGCCACGCCCATGAGGACAGGGTTCGCTGAAACGATACTCAGTGCACGCGCTCCAGCATCCCACGGCTCGAGAGGTCGGGGCGTCAGTGCACTGAGATGCCCCTGGCCGACCCAACGGCGTGGTGTACACCTCAGGCGATGCTTAAGAAAACTTAAGTTTTCGTCCAGAGTCTCGAATTTTCTTGACTTTTCAATGTAAATCCCAAGATTTTGATAGAAATTCTGGGTTTTATTTAGTTTCTGAGACTATGAATTTCTTAACCCATGATTTCTTAAGCATTTCGCAGGGTGTATCATCCTCCTCATGCTCCTGCCTCGCGCCTCCTGCGAACCAGACACGCGTTTCTGCACAGCAACCTGTGGAATGAACGTAGCGAGGGGCCACAGCCAAAGCGAGAGAGGGTCACTGTCGAGCTGCACGCACGTTGCCAGTTGTAGACGTTGCGATTCCGGATGCGGTGCGTGTATAGTGCGCGTGGTCACAGACGTCGCGGCAGGAGGGTGTCCTCGATGGTCCCGAGGCTCAACGTAACGAGGGAAGACAAACACTGGCAGGAGGACATCCCCGCCTGCTCGCGCGCCTTGGTGCGCTCGGCGAGCGTCAGCATCCCTTCGGTGGGGATGAGCCTGGTGCTGGAGCTCGAGCTGCTGGGGGGGACTTGTAGCCGAGCCAGCCTCAAGCAGAGCGACAGCAGGCTCTCGTGCCGAGCCCACCGCTGCTCCACTCGAGTAGTGAGGATGTAAACCACGCCGAATTCGAAGCAACGTCTGTTCCCCACTCTTGGAGATCGCGGGGGACCGTCAGAGACGAGACAGACAACGTTTGCTGGAGTAGGCCCCACACTTGAAGTATAAACAGAGAGGTAAACCTTGCACATCATCCTGGATCATGGCAACTCCCAGTGTCTGCCCCCGCTGCTCTGCTCCGCCAAGCTGGCGAACGGCCATGGGGAGTCTCTTGCATTCGATCATCGGGCGGGCTTGCCCGCAAGATACACTGTAGCACTTGCTGCACCTCCATCCTGGCCCCGACTCGACTGCAATCCAGCCATGCCAATTCGGATCTCTGATGACCTTGGGTCGGAGGCCCTTGGGAGCGCGCCGGAAATCCAGCTTGGGATAACAGGAGAGTGCAGCAGAGACCATGTTAGCAACCTTCTTTATACTTATTGATTTGACTGCGCAGGGCGTCCAGAGCATTGAGAACGGCTGGCGGGGCACCTGGATGCATTCGCCAGGGCGGCGTCGGACCTCTCGCAATCCCGGGCGTGGGATCGGTTCTGAAGCGCCGTAGTCGAGCTGCCGAAGCTTCGGGCAGCATGGTGCTGTGAGTCTCTAGCGCGGGAGAGACCGGGCGAAGCACATCCCGCTCCGTCGAGCCAGGATAGCTTGACTGGCGGTTTGGCCGCCGCACCCCCCTTTGCTAAGGTGGATTGAGCTAGACCAGCCATTGGCATACACGCTTGGGGGGAGGACTAGGAGGAGAGCAGGAGGGGCTGGACGGAGCAAGTGGCGGAGTAACAAGCATTATGTCGGGCGTGTCCCCCTACAGGGGGATTTTCGACGAAAAATAAAACATACCCCCAAAACAGTCCAAACATAGAAAATAGTACGGAAATTATTTTTGAGTATTTTTGGGCCTCTCTGGGGTATTTTTGGGGTATTTTTTTAATTTTTCGTCGAAAATCGCCCTGTGGGGGGACAGGCCCGACTCAAAACTAGCAGCAGGACGAGGTGCACACGCGCTGGCAGCTGTTGGCTCCAAGGCAGGCGCGCTTGGGTCGCGGCCTTCCCCGGCGGGGGTTGCTCGTGGACGGTGTCTTCGAGTCGTGTCGGCGCGGCCGGGACCCCGCCGCGGGCGTGCGAGGTGGAGCGCCGCCGGTGGCCCGGAGTCGGCCAACACGGAGCGACCTGGCGATCGTAAAGCCGCCGATCTCAAGCAGCGGCTCGCCTAGAGCCCCACCAAGCAATGTTCTGAGAACCTTTTGTGGCTCCCACGAAGTGTTCTTGGAACATTTCTGGCGGAGTCTGTCGTGTTTGAACACATCGGGTCTTTGTTCTGAGAGCATTGTTGTTGCTCTTAGAACATTTCTGGGTTCTATGAACATGTCGTGGTATGAGTATAGGAATGCCGGGACGGTCGGTCCCTGCTCAAAAGGCCGCCGTTCAATGTCAAGGTTGAACGATCCACGCGGTTTCAGAAACCAATGCCGGGGTCGTCACCTCACGAACCGATCGTGTGTAGTGACCGCAGGTCCCCCCGATGTCGTGACTTTCTCACAACGTCGACCCCCAGAGGTCTGGACCCATTCCCCGGGACCGGTTTTTCATCCCGTCAGGCAGTAGCAAAGCGTCCTGGCGTGCCTATAGGCCTACCAAACAATGTTCTAAGAACCTTTTGTAGTTTCCACGAAGTGTTCAAATGACATTTCTCAAAGAACATATCTGGCTGGGACTGTCGTGTTTTGACGCTTACGTTCTAAGAACATTGCTTCTGTTCTTAGAACATCTTGGGGTTCTAAGAACAGTTCGTGGTAGGCCTATAGGAATGCCGGGACGGTCGGTCCATGCTCAATCCTGAGTCGTTTCTTGACGGTCCGGGCCCCCGGAGGCCGAGAATGGCGAGACATTTCCCGGCGTGATTCTTTCACCACGCGAGGGGGTCCGGGTCCGCAGCCTCTCTCCCGCGCTGGGGCTGCCGCGCCCATCCTTGAGATCCGACGTTGCAAGAAAACATGCAACACCGCAGAAAATCACGCCCGGAGCCCGGGACCCCATCTTCCTGCGTCATTTTTCGAGCGGGATCGATCTGTGACGGTCCCGGGGCCCGAAAGTGAACGAAAACGCTGATTGTCGGGGGTGGATAGACCTCCTACCCTGACACGTCGATTAGCGAATTCGCCGTTTTCGGTTCGCGAGAGGGCGTCGCAGCCGTCATTTTTGCGGGTCCAGGTCCGTCGGTTTCGGTCCCAGGCAGTTTTCACGAAGGAGAGGTTTATTAAAGGGAGGTTTCTCCACCGCCGATGTTGTGAACAACATTGCAGCGCCAGGATCTCAGGGATTCTCTCCGGGGCGGGGCGGCGCGCTGCTCCCTGATGAGCGTCCGCAGCCCCTCGCCGGGCTGGCGGCCACGGCGGGCGGTTGTGGCGGAGCAGGAGGCCACCGAGAAGGCCTGGGGTGCGTCAGGGGTAGAGCTTGCTGGGGGGGAGCAGGAGGAGGAGGGAAGAGGAGGAGGAGGAGAAGGAGGAAGAGGAGGAGGAGGAAGAGCAGGAGGAGGAAGAGGAGGAGAAGGAGGAGAGGGATGAGGAGGAGGGAGGAGGAGGGACGAGGAGGGGGGGAGGAGGAGGAGGAGGAGGAGGAGGAAGAGGAGGAGGAGGAGGAAGAGGAGGAGGAGGAGGAGGAGGATGCTCTCCAGCAGCTGCGCCTCGCCGAGGGCATCCTGGGGGTGCCCGAATCGTCCCGATCGGACGCCGGAGGCTCCAGTTATGACCCTCAGCCACGCGCAGAGGGGGTTGGGGGGAGGGGGGAGGGCTTCTTAGAAGCACCCCTGCTTCTTAGAAGGCGCGAGCCTCATCTATAGATGTAAGGCCAGCGCCTCCTAAGTAGCCCTGGGTATTTCGAGCCTTTTACTTGGCATCGCTCGGACGTGTGCATTTTTCTCGGCGAAGGCCATCGAGGAGCAGTGAGGGTCCCCTTGCGAAAGCTTACACGCACGAAGCCGACACGCGCACGGGGAATGTACGTCTGGGCGATGGCGAGGTGAGGAGAGCCCATCCTGGCCGCTTGGAGCCCGACGCCCTGGATTCAGCGAGCTCGCCATGGCCGGAGGGGCGGAGAGCGAGGCTGAGGTGGAGGGCGATAAGGAGTGGGGAGGAACGCTGCGCGGCGCTCTGGCGAGAGCCACACTGTGAAAACAGCCCGCCATCCATCCGTGTGACTGCTGGTTCTGTCAAGCTTGGGGGTCATAGACTGGGAGGAAGTCTGAGGTGAAACGCCCAGCTCGCCCAGCCGACACGTCATCTCCAGGGAAAGAGGTGGAGGAGAAGAGAAGGGAGAGGTGGAGGAGCACGAGGAAAAGGAGGAGAAGGAGGAGGGGCACGAGGAGGTGTGGGGAGGAGGCTTCGGGAGGAGGACGCGGTGAGGTGGAAGTGGAGGAGAAGGAGGAGGAGGAGGAGGAGGAGAAGGAGGAGGAGGAGGAGCAGGAGTGGGATGGCGAGGAGAGAAGCAGTGTGTGCAAGGAAGGGCAGGATCAGGAGGAAAGTGAGGAGGAACACGAGGACCAGGATGAGCAGGATAAGACGCAGCAGCAGGATAGGTGGGGGAGGCCTAGGCGGTGATGGAGGTAAAGCAAGAAGAGGCGGCGCTGGAGGCAGGAGGAGGAGGAGGAGGAGGAGGAGGCAGAGAAACAAAATGGATGAGGCAGAGGCGGAGGCAGATAAAAAGGGGTCGTAGGCTGATCAGGAGAATGCGGAGGGGTAATATGGGTGATGAGTCAAATGAGGAGGAGGAGGAGGAGGACGAGGAGCAGGGAGAGAGGGAGAATGAGACATAGGAGACGGAGGAGGATGGGAAGGATGATGAGGAGGATAATGAGCAGAAGGAGGGTATCGACGAGGACGTGGCTTAGGCATAGGAACATGGGCATGCTGTTGATGATCATGGTGATTAGGAGGAGGGGGAGGAGGAGGAGGAGGAGGAGTAGGAGGAGGAGGAGGAGGAGGAGGGGGAGGAGGAGGAGACGGAGATGGAGGAGGAGGAGGAGAAGGAGGAGGAGGAGGAAGAAAACAATCAGGAGAAGGAGGAGGATAATGAAAAGGGGATTGAGGAGGAGGAGGAGGAGGATGACGATGAAGATGATACAAGGATGATGATGATGATGATGAGGAGGAGGAGGAGGAGGAGGAGGAGGAGAAGGAGCAGCAGCGGGATAGGAGTAAGAGGAGGAGGTGAAGGTGGGGGCGACGGAGGAGGAACTGGATGAGGAGGGGTTAGGAGCATGATGAGGTAGGAGGGGGCGGATAAGAGGACGATGAGGAGGTAGAGGATGTCGACGGAAGGATGAGCAAGGGAGGACGAGGAGGAGAAATCACATGATGACGATGATGGTGGCGATCATGAGCAGTAGGAAGATGCAATGCAAGTTACCGGCCGAGACAACACTGCTGCGCCCCGCCGAGTTTTCAAGCCTTCCTCACTGCACCACGCGCCTCCCGTCCGATGCACACCGCCTTCGCTGCACCACGCGCCACCCGCTGCCTGCCGCGGTTGCAGCACTTGACCGCGGCGAAGTGTCTGAGATTCCGCACCCTTCGCCGAGCCGCGGGAGGGTCACCCCCGTCCCTGCCCCCAGTGCCGTTGCGCGCTGGCGATTACAAGGGGCACTGCGCTGGGCAGGAGTACCAGACCGTGAGCGGGCCTGCAGGGCCTCGCACTTGGACGCGCCCCCGCGCCAGCTGACCGAGCCTCAGTGAGCATGGCCCTCCGCAAGCCCTCGACCCTTTGGGCCCCTCTGCTGCACCGCGCCTCGCCCGCTTCGCCGCGCCACGTGCCGCGTGCTGCCTCGCCTGGCCCCTCACCGAGCACGCTCCTTTGCTCGCAAAGCGCCCACTCGCAAACTTCAGAAAACAAAACTCGCGCACGCACGCACGCGGCGGCGAGCGAGGGGGGAAGCGAGAAGGAGAAGGCCTTCTCAGAAGGCGGCGGGGCCTCTCAGGAGCCCCCGCGCCTTCTGAGACTTGTTCTGTGTCTTCGGGGAAGGCCCAGGACACTTTTTCAGAAGGCCTGGGGACGTCACGAGCCTTCTGAGAGGGCCCGCCCCGTCCAGGCTCGCAGCCGACATGGAATTGAATATCAGCTTCAATTTGACGCGTGGAACTTGAGGGCGCGTTCCAGGGTGTGTTGCCGACACCCCCACCGCTCCCCGTCCTCCTGTCCTCCGCTCCGCTCCCGAGCTCTCCCTCTCTAGCCCCTCCCCTCTGGCTCCCCCTTTCTCCTCTCCCCCTCCTCCCCCTCCTCCCTTCCCCCCCCCCTCCCCCCCTCCTTTCCTCCTGGACTCGCCGCCGACGCACGCCTGCACCGATGGCAGCACAAGGACTTGCGCCTCGGCGCGCCCGCGCAGACTTCTCGTGGCCCGAGCGTGGCTCCCTCGCCCTCTCCGGCCCCCTCTGGCCACCTCGCGCCTCGGCGCGCGTCCTCTCCTCCGCGTGCCTCGCTGCGCGCTGGCGCGCCCCGCCGCTGCTCGCTCGCCGTCTGCTCCTCGCGCGGCCGCTGGCTAAGCAAACGCTTGCCTCGACCTGGCATCGCTCGGACGTGTGCATTTTTCCTTCGGCGAGGACCATTGAGGAGCATCCTTGCTCATTTCGCGAAAAAACCACGCACGAAACCGAAACAAACACACGGAATGGACGTCCGAGCGATGGCCAGTCGATGTTGCGCCCCTGTCTTCGCATCAGATGTTTGCATGCGGATAGTTGGTCGTGCTCGTTGGTGTCTCCGCGCGCTCAGGGCAAAGGCCCCCGGGGGCGTTACGAGCTTCCGGCGTCGCAGCACGGGCTCACAGACTGACCTTGCCCGCGCGCTGTGGTTCAGGAGGGGAAAAAACACACAGACACAAGTATTCGTCGATTCCCAGAAAATATGGGAAAATATGGGAAGTGGGGGGGAAGACGAAAACCCAGAAAATATGGGAAAATATGGGGGATATTTTTATTTGTGTGTATTTATTTGTGTGTCCCAGTTCCCCTTCAGTGGTGCCAGCGGAAGACCGAAAGAAAAAGGTGGGTCCCCCGCGGCGGATCCAGGCCAAGTCGTGGAACGCGCTCGTCGAGGGCTTGCCGCCGCGTCCGTGGCATCGGCCGCGATGGCCTGCAGCGCGCCCGACGCCCGCGCGGGCCTCCACGGCCTGCTGCGCCGGCGCCCTCGCCAGGGCGTCCTGCGACGATCCCGATGAAGATACATCTCCTCCTCCTCCTCCTCCTCCCCCTCCTCCTCCTCCCCCTCCTCCTCCTCCTCCTCCTCCTCCTCCTCCTCCTCCTCCTCCTCCTCCTCCTCCTCCTCCTCCTCCTCCTCCTCCTCCTCCCTCGAGACGCAGACATCCCTTTCCGGAGGTCCGCGAGGATTTCCTAGATCGGCGCTGGGCCATCCCGGCGGCGTTTCAGGCGCCGCCCCAGGCGCGCTCCGCGCGGCAGGGGTGGGGTTTCACTGCCAATCCAAGAAGTCTGCGTTGAGGTCCGAGCGATTCTGTTTATGACGACGTATCTGCGTGTAGCCCTTGTGCTTACCGCAGCTGGTGCTCCAGCCACGTCGCACCTTCCTCCGCCTTGGTCGTTTCCCGCATCTCGTCACGATTGCGTGGGCGCCGCCGTTCGAGGTTCCCAGAGTGGACTGGCTCATGGATGCAGTCCGCTTCTTGGGCGTCGCGCGGTGGGGGGCGGTACATTGTGGGGCAGCGAGGGTTGCAGAAAAGTTGCCTTTATAGGCCCAAGAAGGAGCCTTTAGGGCCCGAGAAGTGCACCTTTCTCCCCCCCGCTTTCGCCCCCCCAGCTGGGCCGCCCGCGCCCCTTGCCACGCCATGCGGCCTGCCGCTGCCGCGCCCGCCTTGCTCTTCTCCGTCGCGCCCAAGGAGGCCTTCAGTGTGGTGCAGGCCCTGCCTCACGGTCGGACCGAGGTATAAGATCGAGATCAACTCGGGGAGGGTACCTCTATGTTTTTCGCGTTCGTTGGAAGCTCTTGTGCGTCCTGGGGGACGGTACCCTTGGACGTTTTGTGTGTTTTGACCATCGGGGGGGTTCGAGTTATTGGAGAATGTTCTTCTGTCTTAGGTCCGACTGAAGACACAGCCGCCGCTGCCTCGCAGCTCCTGGGTCGCCCCTTGAGTTAATGTCGCAGCCGCCAGCTGGCGCGCCCTTTTTTCTTCAAGAGCGCGAGTGTCAAAGCAAGATCCACTTCGGAGGCCTTCGGGATCGCTCGGAGGCCGTCCATCGGCGCCGCCTGAGGCAGTCGGCGGAGAGCTGGACCTTCGACTAGACGTAAGAGTGACCTCTCGCCAGAGTGACCTTTGGTGTGGGCCCGATGGGGTCTCCCGATCGCCGTGGCGGCAGTGGCGTCTTGCGCGCTGTAGCCGAGACCTCCGCGCCCGCGCCCTGTGCCAGTTGCGCGCCGATCGGGCCGCGCGGCCCTTTCACTGGCAGCGCCAGTTCGGAGCCGTCCAGCAGCTCGCTGCTCTGGCGCTGCTACACGCCCTCTGGCGCGGGGGGGGCAAGGGAGGGAGGAGGGAGGAGACGGGAGCGAGCGAGGAGGAGAAGGAGGGAGGAGGAGGGAGAGAAGGAGGAAGAAGAAGCGGGGAGGATGAGGCTCGTCGATGGTTGTTTGGGGCATTCCTGGGGCCATTTTGGGTCGTGGACAGAACCCTTCTTTGGGAGGCTTTTTGGGGTCTCTTGTGAGGCCTCCCGGCGGCATCTTAATGCTATTTTTGGGACTTCCCAGGGCCTCTTGGGGTCTGTGGGTTTTTTCTTGCGCCTCCAGGGGCCTTTCTTAGCCTGTTGGCGGTCTCGGAGGCAATTTCTCGGGGAAGGGTTCGACATGCCAGCTCGGAATATCCCCTGGTCCGCTTCCAGCGGCAGAGAGACAAGACAAGAAGCCGTGCATCCATGAAGGACGCGAGGGCAGAAATAGCAACCACAAAGTTGCCGCGGCCGCAGCGGGCGCTTCTAGGGGGGAGGAGGTGGAGGAGGCAACATGCTTCAGATGCTCAGGTGACCGAGGTTGTAGGCGGATTGCGCCCATTGCTGCCTGGGTCTCCCTCTGCGCCGGCGGAATGCCCCATCTTTGGGCGTGCCGTCTGCGTTGCACACCACCCGCTTCACCAAGGAGTCGTCTGTTTGTACAATAAGTTTCCTATACAACTTGCATTGGCGATCACATAATACTGCCATGAAATTAATGTGTCGGAGGTCCGCCGCGTTGGGCCGCCCTGGCGGGGCTTCCAGCGCCGCCCCACAACCCTGGCTTTGAAGTGACGGGGCACGCTTCTGCTCTTCGCTCTTGGGGCATTCCACACGGGTGTTCTGCGTCTTGGGCAGTTGGGGCTTTGCAGCGGGGCTCGTGTTCGTGGCCCTCGTGCTTGTGGCCATGTTCTGACAGTACGCTGCCGAGTCATCGGGACGTGTCGGCCTGCACTGCGAGCGAGTGACCACAAAACTTCGATGCGCCCAGTGAGACATAGGAGCATGCTGGCTCGCTCCTGGTGAAGATCGTGTTGCCGCAGTGCCAGCCTCTGGGTTCGAAAAGCGAAGAAAAGCATGAACATACTTTCTCGGAGTTCCGCGCGGATTTCTTGGATCGGCGTTGGTCCCCCTTGGCGGCGCCTCCAGCGTCGCACAGGGTCCAGCGCTGATCCGAGAAATCCACACGGACCTCGAGAAATTATGTGTGTTTGTGCCTTTTTTGTTCCTCCGTCGTGATGCCAGATCTCCATTCCCGGGACCGAATCTGAGTCACAGGATGCACTTTTATCGTTTTTTGCGGCATCCGTGATGCCGAAATTCCCCCTCGCGGGCACGACTCTGGGCTGCATAATGCAACCCTGCTGCGCCCAGCGGTTGTCGCCCAGCCCAGCCAGACAAGCCAGCATGGAAGGATGGGTGACCTTCCCAAGGGTACCCTTGCACCCTTAACTTCTCGGTCCGTCCTGAACCCCTTTCGATGGCCAGTCCCTCTCGAGGAGCCTTGACATGCGCGTCCAAGGGGCTTGCATCCTTATATCGCGCATCTCGACTATCGGTTTTGACTGTTTGGTCTTCTGCTCGCGCGCGCCTCCGCTTCCTGCCCTCCGTCCCGCATCCCCAGGGTCCGAGAGCCGCCAGCAGCAGCAGCTGCAGCAGCAGCGGCAGCAGCAGCGGCGGCAGCAGCAGCAGCAGCAGCGGCGCCAGAAGCGCGCTGCCGGTGCCCGCGTCGCCCCACAGGGCTCGGGCGTTTTGGCCTCGGCCAGCCGCGGATCGTGGCGAAAGTCAGAGGCGGAACAGGTACCCTTCCTCCGATTTCGCCAATTCGGGCCTCCTGGGAGGTCCTTGTCGTCACTGCTGCATTCGCCCCGAAATCCTGGTTAGAACGCGCCCCGGGAGAGTTCCAGAGAGTTTCGGTATCGCTACCTCTTGGTTTCCCACGAGAGGAGCAGGGAGGGGAAAGGTGGGCAGAGGAGGAGGAGGAGGAGGAGGAGGATGGGCAGGAGGCAAGGATCAGCTGCTCTTTTGGAATCTGCGGCCAGCCCACAGGAGCTCCGAGCTGCCCTGGGCAGCGCGGGAGTCTGCGGCCCGCCCACGGGGGCACCGAGCTGCGGGTCTGCATGGCCCTGGCGTTTGTGCAGCAGTCTGTGCGAGGCAAGACGTTGGCCCTGGAAGCCCACAACTCCCCGTTCGCCACTCAACCCGGCCGGCCCGCCTCGCACCCAGTAGCTAATTAATTAGGCCTGTTTCCGTGCCCCGGACAGCTTCTGTCTCCGCCTGCGGTCTTCGCTCGCGGACGCGACCGAAAAGAATCGGGGGTGGACAGAACCCCCAACAGTGACACGTCGATTAGTGAATTGTACGTTTTCGGTTTTCGAGAGGGCGCCGTGGCCGTTATTTTTCAGGCTTGCGCCCGCCAGGTTTGGGGCTCAGGTCGTTTTCACTAAACCACGTTCTGCTATTTGGGGGTCTGTCCACTCAAAGGAGGTATCGCGTTGCGCTGCCGCACGATGCCGCCGCTGCGCTCGGGCGGTCGCCGGTGAGGCGCCGGGGAGGCCACGGGCGGGGGCGGCGGGCGGCGGGGAGGAGACGTGAGGTTTTCGCATGCTCAGGACAGAGCGCTCTGCAGCGACGCCTGCGAGGCACACATGGCGCAGAGGACGGCGTGCTTCTGCTCGCGAGCACTCGGGCGAAGAGAAATATGCACATGCACCGATCCTGACAACGCCCATCCTTGACCCAGGATCGGTGCATATGCCTTCCTGGCCAAGGTAGGAGGGCATATACACCGATCCTGGGCTCAGGATGGGTCTGGCCAGAATCGGTGTATGTGCATAGTTCTTTTTCCTCTAAGCACGGGATGGTGCTCACAGGCGTGGTGTGTCGCTCGCAGGCTGCTGTGGTGCTCGCGGGGGCAGGGTCCGCAGCAGCGGCTGCAAGCTACCGTGGCCTGGCAGAGCCCGGTTCTCTTCTTCGTCCAGCCGTCGCAAGCAGAGAGTCGTGCTCACAGGTTGGAGCCGGCTGGGGGGCGAGGTCTGAGGTGCTGGGTTCGGGAAGGCTGTTTGCCGTGTTTGGTTTCCCGGGGCCAGTCAAACACGGATTCAGGGCGAAAAGTGTGCACCTGACGAGCCTGGGAGGGGTTTGGGGGCGGATTTTGAGCGGATGTACCATCATCCCCCCTCTGGACAGACTTTCTCGAGGCCCAACCAGCTCAGACCCACTAGCCGCCTCCAACTCACAGAGGCGTTGTTACCCTCGCAGGCGTACTGCCGTGCTTGCATGCGCAGTGATGTACTGACATGGCCTTTCATATATTGGTGAATGTTATGGCGCTTGCAGGATATTGCGGTTTAGCTTGGCTGGGTGTTCCTCGCCATGTCGTGGTCGCAAGCAAAACGTGCTCGCAGGCTGTTGGTGTTGGCAGGATCGGTTATACCGTTGTGCATAATTACTTGATTACTATGGCAGGTCATTGTGGTATTAGCATGTTATGGCGGTCGCAAGCAGATCGCTATATTGGCAATAAGCCTGCACTGTGCCGTGAATGCCGCGGCGTTCGCATGCTACTGTGGGCCTTGTTGGGTCCAGCCGCCTGGCCGTGGCAAGCAGATTGTGCTGATTGCAGGGGCGCTGTGGTGCTCGCAGGTTGCTGAGGTGCTTCCAGGCAACATCTTGCGCTTGTAGGGGATCTGCTGCGCTCGCAAGCTGTCGCGGTACCCCCAGGGTCCAGCACGCCGTTATGCACATGGGTGGCCTCATGGTGACCCCCTCCTATGCCACTGTGGTGCGTGCTCGCCTGTCGTGGCGCTCGCTTGCTGCTGCGGCACTGGCAGGGTCTGCCATGCTCTTGCGCACACTTGGCGCTCGCAGGCTACCGTGGTTCTGGTATGGTCCGTACTCCCTTGGCGCCTGGCAGCGGCACAGGCGATCATCGGTGCTCGCAGGCGTAGTGTTGTGTCCTCGGGCACGCTGTTGTCTTCGCAGGCGCATTGTGGCTTGCAGGCGCGCTGTGGTGCAAGGAGGCGTAACGCCCAAGCCTTGCTGCAGGGCGAATGTGCGCGAGAGCGCAGCGGTGGCGCCGGGGACACGCTGCCGGGGGGGGGGGGGGTCGCCGCGTTCTGGCCCACAACCCCCTCCCCACAACGCCCGTTCATGTTTTAGGGGCGCGATTGCAACAGCTGTCGAGGGAGGCATAGGAGGCGGAGGGGAGGAGGAGGAGGAGGAGGAGGAGGAGGAGGAGGAGGAGGAGGAGGAGGAGGCGCGAGGAGGAGAGAGGAGGGAGGCGGGATAAGAGAAGAGGATGAGGAGACGGGGGACAAGCGAGTGGAGAGGCGTAGGCGGAGGAGGAGGAGCAGGGGGGGAGGTGTGGAACAGTGGGCGGGGGAGTGGGAGGAGGAGGAGCAAAAATAACACAAGGAGGAGGAGGAGGAGTGACAGGACGTAGGAGGGATGGAAGGAAGACGACTCCAATGATGATGATGATGCTGATGATGATGATGGTGATGATGGTGATGATGATGATGATGATGATGATGATGATGATGATGATGATGGAGGTGGTGGTGGTTGTGGTGATGCTGCTTATGCTGATGATAATGATGATGCTGATGCTGATGAACATGACGATGATGATGGATGCTTATGATGATGCTGACGAAGATGATGACGATGGCGATGACGATGACGAGGGCTATGATGATGATGTGATGATGGTGATGATGATTATGAAGACGCTGTCGATGATGATGCTGATGATGATGCTTCTGCTGATGATGCTGATGAGGACTGCGATGACGGTGAGGATTACAAGGAGGATGGTGATGGTGATGGTGATGCTGACGGTGATGATGGTGATGGTGATGATGATGATGATGGTGATGCTGATGTTGTTGATGGAGATTATGATGATGCTGCTGATGATTATGATGATGCCGATGATGATGATGATGATGATGGTGATGAGCGTGAACCTGGGTGATGGTGACGGTGATGATGGTGATTGTGATTATGATGTTGATGATGATGACGATGTTGATGACGACGATAATGGCGATGTTGTTGGTGGTGATGATGATGTTAGTGATGATGGTGGCAATGGCGATGGTCATGGTGATGGGGATGGGGATGGGGATGGCGATGCTGCTGATGATGAGGATGAGGATGAGGATTATAATGACGATGCTGACGATGATGATGACGATGACGATGATGACGATGACGATGACGATGACGATGACCTTGACGTTGGCGATGATGATGATGATGATGATGATGATGATGATGATGCTGGTGGTGGTGGTGGTGATGATGATTATTATGGTGGTGATGATGATGATTGTGATGATGCACATGATGAACACCGTGAACATGATGATTGTGATGGTGATGGCGATGGCGATGGTGACGTTGATTATGGAAATGATGATTGTAATGGCGATGTTGATGGTACTGACGAGGTTGTTGATGATGCTGGTGATGATGGTGTCGGTGTCGGTGATGATGCTGATGTTCTGATGTTGTTGATGATGGTGATGGTGATGAGGAGAAGGAGGGAGAGGCTGATGGTGGTGGTGATGACCATGACGGTGACGACGACGGCGGCGGCAACGACGACGACGACGGTTGAGGAACGGTTGAATGGCTTGATGGCTTGGTGACCCGATGTGGCTTTCTGCCCGCCTCCCCGCGCCGAAGCGCGCCGAGGGCCCGCTCGCCCGCCGGGCGCGGCTCCCCGCCGCGCACGCCGCCGAAGTGCGCGCGAGAGCAGCCCCGGGCGCCCCCTCAGTACAGGCCCGGCGGGCGCGGGGAGCGGAAGGCGAGGATCGGGGGCGGCCAGGAGGGGGGTGATGACTTCCAGGAGGGAAAAAACACACAGACACAATGAATCATCGATTTCCAAAGAAATATGGGAGAACATGGGAAGGGGGGGGGAAGACAAAGACCCAGAAAACATGGGCAAATATGGGGAATTGTTTTATTTGTGCGTATTTATTTGTGTGTCCCAGGGCCCCTTCAGACTTAGGGGCTCGCGGCCTCCCTTATTTTCCTTCTTCGTCCTGGGTTCCTCTTTGGTTACACGCCGGTCGTTGAAAGTAGATAATTTTGGATCCCCAGATCCCAATCTACTTCAAGCGCCTTCCTACTTCAAGAATCGACACGCTTTTGCTGTGTTTTGTTATTCTCTGGGGGGCGTGGACCCAATCAACTTAATCCGCCTTCCTGCTTCATGCTTTCACCTACTTCTGCCGACCGAAGTGTACCCCTCTCCTTCTTTGTTGTGTCTGTCGCCGAGCGGTCTTTGACCTTCGGACCTGTGTGTACAACTGGGCAACGGGTGATGACTATGGGGGAGGGGGGATATCATGGCGGGGGCCACGACATCTCTCCAGAATGCATGGCCCACCATCTTCCTTCAAGACATCCCCCGGCCCCCCCTTGGGCCGCGCACGTACCGCGGGCCATGATTTGCGCCCCCCCCGCTATGAGACGCCCCCCTCTTGGGCGCCCCCGAGCGAGGAGAGGACCCACACCCCCTCACGTCGTAAACAGAATCGGACGGGCGTTTTTTGTTGCTGCTGTTTTCGGCCTTTTGGGGGCCCTCACCGGGCCCTGGGACCCTCACACGACGACTCAGGATGAAAATCCGGTCCTGGGGGATGGGTCGAGACCTCTGGGGGGGGTCGACGCTCTGAGAAACGCATGGCGTCGGGGGTCTGGGGAGGAGGCTTGCTTCCAGGAGGCGGTGTCTGCTTCCGAGGAGCTGCTGCTGTGCCTCCGCGAGGCTGGCGGGGTGCTTCTGAGAGGCGGCGCGCCGGGCAGTGGGGGCGTTTGGGGGGCGGGGGTGGCAGGGGGCAATGGGGCAGCGGGGGGGGGTCAGCCTCGCGCAGAGGGGGTTGGGGGGAGGGGGGAGGGATTCTCAGAAGCACCCCCACTTCTTAGAAGGCGCGGGCCTCATCTATGGACGTAAGGCGGGCGCCTTCCGAGAAGCAGCCTCCCTCCAAGAAGCCCTCCCCCAATCCTCCACCCCTTGTGCGCACCGCCAGTGATAGCCGCGAGACTCCAAGCCAAGTTGCTGAGGGGGAGGGAGAGGGAGGGGGGAGAAGATAGGGGGAAGGCGAAGAGCCACGAAGGAAGAAGACGATGGAGTTTCGGGGGACACGAGCGCAAGGGCCAGAGCCGCGAACGACAGCGAACGTGAAGGGCTTGGAGCTCCAGAACAGCCATATGATAGTCGAACTGATGGGAGGAGGAGGAGGAGGAGGACCCTTTGCAAACCATCACCTTCGGAGTCGCCGAATCAGGCGG